GTATGTAGTTGTATGCCCGATGTAATTATTATTCTTGTATTTGTTATAATCAAGAACGCAAATCCGTAAGAGGCATGTAAAATCATGTATAATGTTAATCCTATGTAATTGGATCTTGCTAGTGAGTTGCTATTATTGATGATGAGTTTGGCTGTTTAAAATTTTTTCCTAATAAATAATCAACCTATTCGTCTTGATCTGATCCACTGTAGTAGTGTATTAGTAATATCTTATAAGTAAATATTATAATACAAAGTGACGCATTTGTGACATGTTGTAATGTTCTATGTTGTCTAATAGAAATCAACGTTCTGCGTATGGCTTCTTTAGTGATTTTTCAAGACCGGTCTACTGAAACATACTCATTGATAACTCGCATTTCCTTTTAGCATCCTGCCTCGACCATACCTAGCATCCTCCTGGGTATGACGATAAAAATAATCCGGCAGCAAGTCATTTGATCAGGGGATTGGAGTTCTTGAAAATTTTAAATCACATTTCAACTGCTGTTGTCCACAGGTCCACCATGATCCTGGGGGGTAACATCTATTAGTGTCCCAGCTATGGGTTTATATTGACCCGCCAAAAAAATTACATGTACATTTTTTAATAAAATGACCAACAACACATTTTTCGAGTAAAATGACAATCAATGCAGCACTAAACAAATATGAAAGTAAATTTCTATAGTAAAATTACCAACAATACATTTTTTGATCTACAATCTATATATCTAGAAAAATCAAAAAATTTACACTAAAACTATAAAATTATGTGCAAAATATCTTTAGTTGAAAGCATAAAGTTTACGTAAAAAATAATTAGATTTCGACATTAAATAACACATAGTGGTTGACAGGCCGCTATGAAAAAACAATCAACCAACTAATAATAAATAAATGTGTAAGAATATTATAGATCAGCATGTTCATTCTTTGACAGCATTAGCAATCTAGGTCAGGACCTTATGCAAGATTATACTCTTTGCCACACTGCAAAAAAATGTCTTCGAACCTGAAAATTTTGAGCATCTGGTATGTCCCACCCAATGTCAAGATATTACTCTTGTTGATGATATGACTCAAATCTTAGCATCGAGAAAGTCTTTTGTCGCTGAACGCCGCTCATTGATAGCAAATTCCATGATGCAAAGATAATGACTAATAATTCAAGTTGTCATCTAAGAATTACAACTGGGTGTCATTTTATCTCACTTTCTAGCTTATAAACTTCAAACGAATGTATCTAAACCTCACAGGTTCTATCAAATTGACAAACTATTAAACTATCAATCGATCTGCTCAAACTGATTGATTGAATAATGTCCTATAGTCTAAATCCCTCTAGTTTTTGTATCGAGAGTTTTCGATGCAGAATTTGGCCAGATGCTTATCGATTTCACTCATTTTCGTCATTTCACATTCACTGCATTTCGGCCAGATGCATTGCGACTATTACATCTCACCTGGTTTTCCCTATATTACACATTCGGCTTGGCAAGCTATTTATCTAAATGTCTACGGCTAAAATCACACTGAGAACGCCAGTTCCCGTTCGACAGTCGCGGAATTTAAGCAGGGCTGAGTTCGGTGAGTAGTGTAACGGAGCTTAGCGTGGGAACACCGGCTACTGTAAGCAACTTCTTACAATCAGAAATATATACATTTCGGATTTATATAGCGTAAAAAGTGTAGTTTTCTTACACTTTTAAAAAGAAATAAATCAAGTTAATCCAAATTTAGACTCTGTCGCAAGATCGCTCGGCCTCTTCCGTGTAACTGCCGTTTGTAGAAACTCTTAGTACACGGGTCAAATATATGAGAAATTTCAGTATTTGTAACCTGAAATAATCGACAAACGATAAGCCAGCATAGCAAAGTAGACAACATATTCGCTTTAGCGATTTATATCAGGTGACGCAGTTCACACGACGTAATTCTCGACATCCTAAGAATTAAAGCTTTTGCCATGTACAATTTTAAGTAAATATTCGAATTGTATTGTCATTTTCCACAAGTTTTATCTAAATTTTGCTCGTGCAGTATTGCTGTCTTCTCGTTTTACGAGCTTATTAAGACGTCTCAAGAATAACACACTGTATATTTAGCTGCAGTTAAGATTAGGTTCGCGAATTCTTTTTTATTGAGCAATTCATCCGTCAAAAAAATGTGCCCTCGACATTATTCTAGAATATCTTATCTATTATCTATCTATCTATTATGTTATATATTTTATATATATATATTTATATATATAAGTTGTCATTTTTCTGAGGTTATATTCAGATTCATCCGCCCCTCGACTCTAGAATATCGTAGATTAACTTTATGTTAATTTTTCAACGATTTTTTAAGAGGTTTCACAATTACACACACACACACACATATATATATATATATATATATATATATAAATATATATATATATATATATATATATATATATATATGTGTGTGTGAATCAAAAACTGTAGCGTTTTCTAATAGGTCGCCTTTGAAAGTATAATTTCCTTTCACACGTGAGTGAAATTTATGACCTATTTAGTAAGGTAACATTTCAGCGCGTCTTTAATAAGATTCAGGTGTACATTTTAAATGTTTTTTTTATGAGAAAATTGAAAATGTAGGAAAATGAGATGCATTTTGATCATTTCATGCTATTTGTTTCTTTCGGTAAAGTAAAACAAACGTAAGATATGCACCGTCTATAGAGAAGGTACCATAGCTGAGAGTTTTGTTCTGTGTGTAAGAAAGTTAGCCAGATTCAGCAAATGAAATATATTTCCTTTAAACTCATTTAAAGTAGGGCATGGACTTTTTTCAGATTGTGTATATATATATATATATATATATATATATATATATATATATATATATATATATATATATTGGTTGTTTATGTTTTTTTTATAGATGTTAATATTTAAGTAAATGCTATATTTATAATTAACAGTATTAACATCATTTACCGGCCTGAATGTTTGAGAAATTTCATAGAATATATGTGACCTGTGACAGGAATCGAACCTCTATCCTACACGGAGCCGTCATATAGCCTGACGCGCTATACCATTTAGCTACTGAGGAAGCGACCTAGCTAGTCCATTTCCTAATATATGACATCATTTTTACATCAAGATACGCTTCGTGCAAATATGATCGTTCGAGAGAAATCACGGGAAATTTGTTGTATAAAGCAGTAATTCGACCTAGCTAGCCAAACGGTTTCTCTTTATTCTTCATTCAACACTTTAACTTCATAAGAAACCAGAAGTTTTATAATAAAATGGCTATTTTGTAGTGATTTTATAACATATTTATGTTATAATTTTCGAATAAATTATATTTGCTCTACACTGTATTGAGCACTCTTTTAAGAATAGTATTTTTGGTTACTGGAATTTCTTCCGTATACACCAATCCTATCCTTGGGTATATATATATATATATATATGTGTGTGTGTGTGTGTGTGTGTGTGTGAAAATATATAGAAAATATGAAGTAACCGGTTAGGTAAATAATCTAAAGTTCCTTAGTATTTTAGTTATTATTTTTAAAAATAGTGCTCGATACAAAAGTAGAGCATAAAAATAATTATTTATTTAAAATATGATTCAACTCGCGACATAAGAGGTCTCATGTTTCAAAACAAGAGCCGAAAACTTCAATATAATTATTTGAATTAAATTGAGTTAAAGTAAGCTCTGTTCCATCTTCATGCGAAATTTTCTTTGGAATAACGTATTTCTGAAATTTACGTGTTTTAATAATTGAAATCAAAATTTCAATGGTAACAGCTAGGGCGAATTGTTTAAATTGGGTAGGCGTGTGTTGGGTGTTAATAATAAGTATCAGTATAGAGTTACTTTCATAGATGTCAAGTCAGGGAAAGGTGGGGGTGTCTAAATTTGAAACGGAAGATGTTTTCACCCTAGTCTGGTATGCGTGTCTATGGATATTTATTTATTTATTTATTTTATTTTTTTATGATGAAAGGGATTTGTGCATATAAAAATCTGCCGTAACGTTTGTTTTTTGACGACTTCATAAAGGGTATTTAAACTATTTATTTGCGCTATGGATTATGAAAGTTATTATATTGTATGCTTGTTCTTAGCTAATTATTCAGACCATGATTCTGATGATTGGGCTATGGATTAATCAAGTTATTATATTGTATGCATATTTTTAGCTAATTATTCAAACCGTAAATCTGATGATGTCGAAAAAAACCGTTAACTCATGTCTATTTTTTAATAGATTATTATTATTTAGAAGCTTAATAATGTGCATTTTCTCATGGAGGCACAAAGGGCATGGGACATCCCAAGTTTTACATGTTCTATAAACAGGGCTAGAACATGTGTGTGTGTGTGCGTGTTTGTGTAAAATAGAGTAGATAAGTTGGTCAATAAAACAAAGTCAAACGAAGGAGTACCGATGTCATTAGTACGAAAAACATTTATTAATATTAACCACGTGATAGAAATGAAGCACGGAGATTAATGTTCCAAGATCGGAATTTTCGAACACACCTATGTTCTTCATCAGTGGATGCGAGAAATAAACAAATTACGATGGAGACTATCCAATATTAGGTCCTACTTATAGGTTGAATTGGTAGAAAAATCCTTTCCCTATTTGTTTTCTAAATACACACACACACACACACACACACACATATATATATATATATATATATATATATATATATATATATATATAGATATAGATATATATATATATATATATATATATATATATATATATATATATATATATATATAGCGGATGTGTATGTATATGTGTGTGTACTTATTGCATATGTATGATTATGTGCCTATGCAATGTTGATTTTGCCTAAAGACTGTATGCAACATGACATTTATGAGTCTTATTGTTAAAGCCATTAAGAAAATGAGCATACAGGAAAAAAGAATGCGAATTAGTGTAAAAAGAATTGAATGGTTGTGGTTATGTCAGCACCTAAGTAGGCTGTT